TGTATATCATATTTCAAATTTTTGTAAATTATATAGAAAAAATTCAATTAAATTATGAAGATATTATGTAAACTTGATAATTTTAAGAAACATTTAGCTAATATACAAACATCGATTATTTAACTCGAAGTCCGACATAGTCATACAAATACAAAGAAAAAAAAGAAGAACATCATATTATTATAGAAATTACAATATTTAGATTATCCATCAAAATCAATAACGTAAAAATAATCCATTTTTTTCTTTTTCTTTATTCACCATTTAGAACTATGTCATGTTTATTTTGATTTGATTAAAAAAAAACTCAAAGAAGATCCAGTAGTTTCAATAAAATGCGTTTACATCATGAAACATTTTCACCTTTTAATAAAGATCATAAGGTATATATGATTGCAGCGTAAGAACTCGATATGAAAATGTTTGTTTTATTTTGATAAAAAAAAATGGAAATAGTTTTTATCAATTTTAAGTATTATTTCTCGTTCATATGTTTTATCATCATTAGAAGCTGATTTACAAGAAATTCAACAAAAAATTAGTCATAGAATTGATTTTGATACATTTTTTAAAGTAGCACAAAATTTTAAAAGTAAATAATAAAGAAACAGAAGATGATATACATGAAACATGTTATATATTTGATAAATATGGCATTGTTTGTGTTGGTGTTACTGAATTGAAGTATCCTATGATTTCATTGAATGAATAACTTACAGAAGAAGAAGACGAAGTTGATGAGTTAACACGTAAACCTCATACTGATACTGATGAACAGTTTGTATCTAACTAGCTAGAAGTCATTTTTTTGAATAATTTCATTCATTTTTTCTCTTTCCATTTAGATGCAACTATGACGATCTTGTATGTATTTTAACAAATAAACGACACTAAAACGTGATCGATTTTTTGTCAATAATAAAATGAACAAAATAATATACATACTGTCTCATAATAAGTACAATTACTTTTCTGTGTAGTCTCTATAATTCATGCATTTCTCTTTTTTTCCTTTTATGTTCTCTTTTAGCTATGCCTATGGTTCGACATACTTCTTTCGTCATTTCGCTTTTTTTCTTTAATCTCTTTACCTCTTATTATTGCTTCAGTTTCTTTAAATATAAACTTACATATGAATGATAAAAAAGAAAAATTCCTTTTTTTGTTTGTTTTACCTTCATTGATTTTTATATGAATGAAGAAATAGTTAAATTATTTTATCATCATAGTATTTAATTGTTCGATAATTATTTGATGATGCTACAAGGAAAAAAACAACGAAATCCCATACATTTATTTTATTTTACGTCTTTTCATATTTAATTCAATTTTTTTTATTTATTCCATTGAGTGATTTATTGTAATACATTTTCATCATGATATAGCTATATAATAAACGATAAAATAAAACATGATAACGTTGTTATAGTTTCTTTGTCATAGTATAGGGGGCTAGTATTAAACTCCATACTTATTTTACTGCTAAGTAGATA